GCGACGTGGGTGTAAATGAAAAAAAGGTGGAAAATAATTCCGTGTTGATGCTGATTGCGAAGAGAAGCTTATTCTCCGGTTTTATTTTTGTTTTCAGGGAAAGTTGGCTGTACACGGCGCCACCGGAAGCCAGCGCACAACCAGAAACTAGCGCAATTTCAGCTGATTTAAGGTTTATATGGCGTGACTAGCAGCGCTCCGAGTGGAGCCTTAAACCGAGTATGTTGCAGTCGACTCATTAAGGCGCCATCCATTTTCGCTACATGCCTTGGTTACATATTTCATTTGTAGACTAGTGTAATAAAAGGTTAGATTGTTACAGCATTTTTTGTAATATTATTTATTTGTAGTCAAATATTTGATTACTTGATTACATGCTACAAATTAATAACTGCAATTAATTTTAAAGTAGGTATGTACATACATACATATGTTGGTATGTTAAGGAGATTATTCTATGTGAGCGAGTAATTGAGTGGGCGTTTAAAAAATTGAGGATGCCGTCTAATGATATATCTTTGCCTGTGCGTGAATGCACTGACTACGCTAATTGAATTGAATTGCTTAAAGGACTATGACTAATTAAGCATAAATCAATTTAAGGAATATATGTACAGTATACATTTGTAGGCAAGGGCGTAGTCAGGGGGGGACCGGGGGGGACGTATAATGCTTGTTAATTTTTGAAGTGAAACTTCTTTAGTGGCGGTTGGTTGGTTGGGAGTAAATTGGCAAATTCAACGGAATTTGCACTCGGAAAATGTTTCTTGAGTGTATGCGTGTGGTATTCATTTATCAAAAACTTGCTAATAAAAGGTTAAAAAATAACACTTAAAAAAGACCAATACAACAATGAAAGTAAAGGTTCGTACGTACATAGATTAAGAAAATGATAAAGGCAAAGGTAACAAGTAAGAAAGTCTAAGTTCGGGCGGAGCCGAACATTAAATACCCGGCGCAAATATTAAATATATGTTTTTTATCTTTCCGAAAGCTACCGCTACATGATAAGCCGGGTGTATACATTTTAAGTAAATTAGCGTCCTTAAATTTCGAAATATTGAAATTTCAAGCATTTCTGAAATTTACCGTTGTATGAAAAGCCGTAACTTTAGTCCGATTTCAATAATTTTCAAAGTTTTGCCTTTATATGGCAAGCACAATAACCATACCGAGTTTGGTACAAATTGGTAGAACGGTTACCGAGATACATATATGTATGTGATCATAAGTGGGCGGTGCCACGCCCATTTTCCGAAATTTTATCATAAATGTATTTCTTGGTAAGGAATTGTTGCAGGCATCAATTTTTGATAAATTATCTTTAATATTTACTAATTTATCGAAGATTTCGTATTTCTCTAAATTATCGTTATATGGGGTGTGGGCGTGGTTATTGTCCGATTTTAAAAATTTTCAATTTCAAAATTTCATTTTCAAAAAATTTATAATATTCTTATTTTTCGTTCAAAATTAATTGTAAATATCAAATTTGAGTGAATAATCTTCAGCAGTTACTAAAATATCGCAGTTTTCGTATTTCTGAAAATTTCCGTTATATGGGAGGTAGGCGTGGTTATTGTCCGATTTAGCCCATTTTTAATATCATCCGTCCTACGCCCGAAAGAAGTGCAGGTAAATTTGACATCGATTTTGTTATCGATGTTTTTATCGGTTTTGTTATCCATATTCTGTTTGTTGCTATTTGTCCATTTATCGATTTTGTTATGGATAGAGTATAAAGAATAACATAAATGTAATTACGAAGAACGAGGGTAGAGGTAGGGATATAGATAGAAAAAAGGCAAAAAAATAACCTTGAGCAAAAGCAGATATATGTATGTATGTACATATATTTTGATTATGAGACAAAATAGATATGTAACGTAAGTTTCATTTCGCCAGTGTGGCCCAGGCGCACTTACGTTTTTTATACCCGAGCGCACTTGTGCACAAGGGTATATTAATTTCGTTCACATAACGGTTGTTTGTAACAGCCAAAACGAATCGAGATAGATATAGACAAATGTATACATAAATGCTTAGAATGAATAGAGAAATCCATTAAGCCAGGTCTGTCTGTCCGTCTGTCCGTCCGCCCGTCTACACGATAACTCGAGCAAACATTAAGATCTCTCAACGAAATTTGGTATATTGGTTTTCGTTAATCCAGGTTGATATTGAAAATGGGCGAAATCGGATTGTAACCAAGCCCACTTCCCATATAACGGTAATTTCCAGAAATACGAAAACTGCGATATTTTAGGAACTACTGAAGATAATTCACTCAAAATTGATATTTACAATAATTTTCAGACTTAAAATAAGAATATAAAAATTTTTGGAAAATGGGCGTAGCCACGCCCACTTATGGTTACATGTGTATATCTTGGTAACCGCTGCTCCAATTTCTTCCAAACTTGGCACAGTTGTTGGCGTTGATACAACATACTAAATGGCTTAAAATTTTAAAAAGCGGACAATAACCACGCCCACATCCCATATAACGGTAATTTGCGGAAATACGAAAACTGCGATATTTTAGTAACTACTGAAGATTATTCACTCAAAATTGATATTTACAACAATTTTTAGATCAAAAATAAGAATATTATAAATTTTTGGAAAATGGGCGTAGCCACGCCCACTTATGGTTACATGTGTATATCTTGGTAACCGCTGCACCAATTTATTCCAAACTTGGCACAGTTGTTGGCCTTGGTACAGCATACTAAATTACCGAAAATTAACAATAACCACGCCCACATCCCATATAACGGTAATTTAGAGAAATACAAGATCTTCGATAAATCAGTAAATATTAAAGCTTAGTTATTCAAAATTGATGCTTGCAACAATTCTTTACCAAGAAATACATTTATGATAAAATTTCGAAAATGGGCGTGGCACCGCCCACTTATGATCACATACATATATGTATCTCGGTAACCGTTCTACCAATTTGTACCAAACTCGGTATGGTTATTGTGCTTGCCGCATAAAAGAAAAGCGTTGAATATTATTGAAATCGGACTAAAATTTCGGCCGCTTTTCATATAACGGTAAATTTCAGAAATGCTTGAAACTGCAATATTTCGAAATTTAAGGACGCTAATTTACTCAAAATTGATACACCCCGGCTTTCCATCTAGCGGAAGGTTTCGGAAAGGTGAAAAAACATATATTTAATACTTGCGCCGGGAATTTAATGTTCGGCTCCGCCCGAACTTAGACTTTCTTACTTGTTAATTTGAAGGTTTAACGCATTACTTCAACTTCCCTCAATTTGGGTGACTGAATTTCAACCGCTGGGCAAATACTAGTACTCCTTAAAGTTAAAGAATTTTTCTATTACACCCACTTGATGTTAAGCGGATTCAGTGGAGATAAAAATCTATCGATGGTTAGACCATTCGATATTTTCGACAGTATTGGGCCTCACCAGTCGATGGTATCGATACTGTCGGTAAGAGAAAAAATTTGGGATCCTTACTAAGGTAAATTAGTAGAAAAATAATGAATGTTAGTTTTAAACACCCTTTTAGTGTGCATTTCTTGAAATAACAAAATAAGTTATTTTAAGTATCACAAATCTAAATCTGGCTAATATTGTTTTTTTTTTTTTAATTTAATGTTCATAATTTTTTATGAAAGTATAGTGCGTTATCAATCTTCTTCTTTGAAAAGTTTTCAGTATGCGTTTTGTTAGTTCATTAAATTTAACTAAAAAGTGCAAGTTTGAAGTAGCCAGGGCTTAATGTTGATTTTTGAAAATTTTTTTGTTGAAGATGTTGCTTATTCTCTACATTAAAAAAATGGCGAATATATTTACTTGGTATATGTTTACATGATCGCACGGATTTTACAGTTCTCCGGCTTTTTGGAATGCTACAAAAAGTTAAATCTAGTAGCCTTGAAAATAATCTCTAGTAATAGTACTATTTCTGCCGTCACTCCCTGAAGCATTGCTGGAATTATACCGACTGGTCCTGGGTATTTGAAGGGACAGAAGCTATGTATGTATATATTAGTGTTGGGAAGGATCGATTACTTTTGAGGATCGAGTTCCTTAGTAGAGATATTTTTACTCAGTAACGATATTTTTAAAAATCGAGTTCTGACGATCCTTTTGAGAATCGAGTTCTGAGTACTTTTGGTATCGATATTGCCTAACACTACTTACTATATCGAGCCCTAACGGCCAGAATAACGTAAGCGACATTTTTTTCAAATTTTTCTTTTTGATGTAGAAATATTCCTAGAGCATCTAGATGCATTTCTGCATCAAAAAGAAAATTTTGAAAAAATGTCGCTTAAAAAATTTTGAAAATTTTGAAAAAAATGTCGCTTACGTTATTTTGGCGGTTAGGGCTCGATATATATAAGTACAATAAGTACGTGGGAACCCTGCAAACCATTTTTTCAAAGTATTCTGAAAGAAATTTTAAAGAATTCGTAAAGATCTCATCCGATTTTCCTAAAATGAAATAAACTGTGCACACTTAGATTCTTTTACGAATTTCGGAGAAGCAATGAAAATAATGCTGCTATGTAAAGAATTTCTTGCAGAATTTTTTCAGAATTTTCTTTATTTTTCATATAGAAATTACTTTACGTGTTCGTGTCAACCCCTTCATATAATTTTCTTTGAAAATTCGTAAAAAAATCGATACAGACATGAGATACTCCTAAAGATTTCGTTAAGATTTCGCGAACTTTGGTTTGCAGAGAAGTTTAGTGGAAAAATCTACTTTTGTAAATCGGTACAACGTTTTTAAACTACAACATTTTTTTCTTTGTAAAAGTTTTATTATATTTTAATTTAATAGTTGGATTTACGAATACTCTTTCTTTGAATTCCATTTAATTTTCAACATTCAACTTAAAACCTTTCTTGGCTCTCTTGCGTACATGGTACGAATGACGGCAAAGCCCTTATAGGATATTTGAAGAAGCTGAAATAAAAGGGTTTTGATTTCAATTTAAACCACACAAAATCTCTATTTGGCACTCACATCCGTCATTGTAGGCATAGATACTATGACGAAAGAAGTAGCCTGTAATTTAGCCGCCTTTTGAGCGCGTTGCATTATGACAAGTAACATTTTTTTATAACGCAAATCAGCATCATACCAATTGTGATTGTAAATAGCACTGCTGACATATTCGCTCTAGAAGAATAAGTGAGACAGAAGATCAAAATTCTTATATGTAGTCAAACTAAATCCATACCGCTTCCAGCAGTCTCTGTGCATAATAGCAGATTAGAAAGATTTGAACCAACGAACAGAAGAGAAAGAAAGCCAACATAAGCAGCGAATCAACGGCGGCACCGATGGTGATTTGAAAGAGCACAAAGCAAATAATCAGCGATGTGGAGACGAAACTGATGAACAACGATATACCGAAAACATCATTCATTGCCTGGGAGAGTCTAAGATATAAGGATTTAAAATTTTGAGAAGAATGAGTAAGACTCTAATGCGAGTAGATATATACTTTAAAATCTGCTGGTGATAGGCTATAACGCCGCGGAGAAACCGTAAATCCAGCTCACTGCGCTCCAGACTGCTTATTCTTCGCCTTTCCCGCGTCGCGGTACCGCCGCCATTGCCAGCTATATGACTCTCTATGCGCTTGGCCAGCTGGCGATAGTGCATAATGAGTTGCACAGCCACCGCACTCAGCAGCAAATCATTGGCCAATTGTCCGGAGAGACAAGTTTGCCCACCCGCACTTTGTGTCAAATACATTGGATAGTAAAGCCAATTATCGTGCCAATTAAATGGCGTCCAACAGTTATAGGGTATCGTTTTGCCTACGGTACGCACCTCTAGCCACAGCTCATAAATTAAATAGTTGAATAGCGGAAAGAGATTATAGCTCCAAACTAATAGTTCGTGTAACAAAACAAAAGCGTATGCAAATCGATTGTAATACTTTAGCTGCCCCGTCACATCGTAGAACAACTGTTCACGCACCGAGATTGGATAGAGTGCGTAGAGATCTTGCATCATTGAGCTAATACGTGAATGCTGACGCCATATGCTGAAAATTTTTATATCGCCAACAATGACGAAGCCCACGAATGAAGATAGCATAGTTGCCTCAACAAAGTTATTGCCATTTGCGAAAGCCAAAAATATGAAAGTCATCTCGCTCAACAAAGCTACATTCATATTGGCCATCGTAATGAAGAAAAATATGCGTTGCAATTGACGGCGCAGTTGTGCAAGTCTTCCCGTTCGTTGCTCGCCGATTTTCTCGTAGGCATCCAGGCCAATGCTGCTGTAGAATATATTGGCTAGATGGTTGAAGCTTTCAAAATGTATTGGTTCGTTAGACATCGCGGATGATTGTGAATGTGCAGGAGGGTAACTGGCAGGTATTTATATGTCAGTGGGCACCTA